CCCCCCCCCCCCACACACACACACATTGGAATTGGATCCCAGAAGAACTGCCATCCATCCCTGGACTCTATTTGCAGATTCTTCTATGTAGACCAGAAATAATTTTCAGCCTTGTTTAAGACATTTTTATTTTGGGCTTTACTGTTACTATAATATCATTATAATTAGGAGGGTAATATAGAGGCTCCCTTTCCCTAGAGATGAAGGATCAAGTTTGAGCAGTGAGCAATTAGTTATCTTTTGGACACTTGACTAAGTCACATCTTGCAACACACTGTTGGGCTTTCTTTCTTTCTAGTTGTAATATATGACCAGATGGTGCCGATCAGTCCCTTCCATTCTTGGTACAGTTCCAACCTTTTTCTGGAATTACTCATAGCTCTCTATATCTGCCCCTCCCTACTTATACAGATAAAGAAAAGTTAATGTACCTTATGAATAGTTAAAATACCTACTATATTTATACTCTTCTACTTATCAAAATAAATTAAAAATATCCTATTATATTCACTCTTCTTTACTCAGTATATTAACTACCTTTTTGCATGCATCCTGGTGACTTTTTCCTTTTGGAATATCACTAGGGTCATAAATTTTAAAAATTCACTTTGTTCTCATTAACTATATTATTTTCCTTTTGATTATTAAATTGTCATAGAATGTCAGGTGGGAGCCTTTTAAAATTGGTTCCTTTGCCTTCTCAGCTCTACCCTATATACCCTTGTTTATTGTCTTCAACAACATGTTCCAGGCCTACAGTTATTTAAGATATGGAGCTCTTCTCCAAGGAACCCTGAGTCCTTTTAAAGGTGAATAATATTTGAGGCCAAGATCCAGGTGCTAAGAATGCATATCAGATTTTCCCCTAATGTTGTTTCTATGCTATTTTAGTGATAAAATTTGAAATAATTATTTCTTTTGAAAACCACAAATTCACATTTGTATTTCCTATTTAACTCAAGCATTACTAAATCCTTTTTTATTTGACTCTAACATAGTTTTATATTTATTTTCTCTCCAACATACCTGCTTGTATCCTATAATCCCTGACCCAAATTATATGGCATCTTTTATCTTTTGTGATCCCATAGTGTCTTGTCAACTATCATTCTCTAGTTACTTTATTGATGAGTCATTCATGCTGAGCCAGTGGGACAGCCAGGTAAAAGAGTTTATAATACTGGCAGGAGAGTGGTTGAAGGGATGCATCATTGAAACCAAGGTAACAGGAAGTTTAAGAAGGAGGATAAGATAGCACAGATCAGGAGAAAGAAGAGAGGCTGTGGGATAGTCTAGAACAGGCTCAGTGAAGGTAACTGATAGAGCTGGGAGGAAGGAGGTGGTGGTCAGAGCATGGAGTGATTGAAGGTGGAGCACTTTTAGAAGGTTGCTATGGTCACTGATGTGCTCCATGCCTGGAGAACTACACTTGCCCACATGTGACCTTCAGCTGCTGAAGGAAGCACTGTACACCTGCCCTCAGCCAGAGCAAACAAACACATCCCTCCACCCCCATGTCTCGGGTGGCGAGTTGAGGGCCAGAGTCCATTTGGGCTTGTACAGATGAACACCCAGGTTCACTGTCTGTTGGCTGCCCCAGTGTACATGAAAAATGTGTACCTTGTTAAGACTGGTCACATGTCCCCTTCTTGTCCTACCAGCTATAGGCTCTGGGCTGCTCAGTGGCCCTCCCCACATTTCTATTGGTGGCTAAGCCTCCTGCCCTATCCCATCTGTGCTGGCTCAGTTCCTACTGTGTTGGCAGAGATCTGTGATGCTGGCACTTCTCACAGGAAGGAGCCTGCAGGGTATGCTGAGACGGGTCCATCTGGGCCCTTGTGGGGGCCTGTCAGGCTCACCTGTGCCACCTGCTTCCAAGTAGCACTGAGCTAGAAGCTGGGGGTGGGGTGGAGTGGGGGAAGGAGTAGCAAAGTCTGCAAAGTATTGCAAGACTCTTTACCTGCCAAATCCTGCCCTGATCCTATGGTTACAGACAGAGAGCTGCAGTGAGAGGCTGTGAGGGCATTTTGGAAGGGGGTGCTAAGAGGGGCCAGGTCCCGAGATACTATAGCTCTACTTATCACCTTGGGTGTTTGGCACAGGGTTCCATGCAGGAAGGTGGAATACAGGCAGCCAGAAGGAGCCTCTTTCCTGCCCCAAAGATGTTGCTTCTGGGGCAGGAGAGGGCAGAGGTCAGAGGCTAGATTCCCTTACTCGAAAGGCTTGAGCCCTCAGAGTGGGAAGATGAGGAAGCCAGAGAAGCTTGAATATTTCCAGCCACCCAGCAGGTTCCCCCGACGTAGGCGCAGAGACACCCGGTCCCCGGGGTCCAGGGGCAGTAGCACAGAGCTGGTGGCTGCCTCCCGGGTCACGTCAGGGTCATTGGCAAAGGCTGAGATGACAGGCCATGTGTTCAGCATCAGGCTCACCTGGGAAGGGAGATCAGTTAATGTCTCTCCTCAGCCCTTGTCCTAGAACCCCATTTTCTGAGGGCTACCCCTCTTCTCTCCAGCCCCAGAGGGACACTCTGGAACCTGGAAACCTGAGGATCAGTGCACTCCCCTGGGAGGTCTGAGGGGTGGCCAGTGTTAGACTCTGCAGGTCCTCCACTCTCTGCTAGGCAGGCCCTTTCCTCCCTTGCTCCTGGCCCCCCAGGACACAGGCCCATGGAGGGTCTGCCCAGGAGTCAGCTGGGCTCCACTTATTTGTCCCCCCACCCCCTGGAGCCTGGACAGGGACAGGGCCCAGTGCTCAGGTCACCTGGACAGTTTGGCGGTTGTACACCTTCACCACGTGGAACCGGAAGCTGTAGACACCCCGGACAGGGGCCACGAAGGAGCCTGAGGCCCGATCAAAGCCACCGCCCTCATTCACCAAGACCTGGGGGAAGCAGACCCTGCTGAGTGGGCTGGGGACACCTGGGGCTCAGGGAAACCACTGGGTTGGGGGATGGGGCAGTGAGAGGTTGTAAGTAGGCTGCCCACAGGAGGAATGCATGGATTCAAAATAAACAGTGAGAGAGGGCAAGGAGGGGTATGGGTAGGAGTGAAGGAAAGGGAGATGGGCAGTGGGGTAGAGGGGCAGCTGGCCACAGCAGTGGCTGTTTCCTTAACAGTAGAGTGGACTTGTACTGATCGCAGGCCCTTGCAGGGTAGGGGGTTACCTGGTCAAAGTAGATGGCCCCATTGGTGCCATTGCCGGTCTCCCCTGCTGGCTCATGGTGGTGGCTTCGAACTGCAGCAAACGCCACTCTTCCAGGGGGTGCTTCTCCCAGAGCTGCTCCCCCAGGCCCCCCTGCAGCAGCTCTGCCGGGCTCACAGACCACCAGGCACTCCCCCTCTAGGAGGACAGGCTCTGCCCCCTCCTGGGCCCATCCCGTCCCCAGGGCCAGAAGTGTCAGGGCCAGGGGCAACCATGGGCTGGGTGCTCCCAGCATGGCTGAGTGGCCCTGACCCACAAGTCCTTTTGTCTTCTTGCTGCTCCTTTTAGTTGCCACTCTGTCCCAGACTCTCAACAGCCCTCACCCTGCTCCTCAGCCCTCTCTCTGAGTCTCGCTGTCACCTGGTCTGAGCATGTCCCTTCCCGTACCTCTCTGTGCCCCACAGCTCTGTCCTGCCTCTCACTCCTGCTGTCACTGCAATTCCCTCCTCCTTGGCAGGGCACAAAATGACAGCAGTTGGGCTCTGGGAGGGAGAGGAGGGAGAAAGCAGCCAGACAGGAGCGCTACAGCCAGAACCCCAGGACGCCCCCGAGAGAGCACTGAGGGCTGGACCTGGGACCACCGAGAACGTGGGTGTGCACCTGTGCAACAGACAGCTCCCACGCTCCTTCCCGCTCCTCATTCCTCCGCTCTTCAAAACCTCTCCCAGGGCCACAGCACTCTCAGTGGCATCTTTTCTACTGTTAGAAGGGAAAGCCCCTGTCTTTCCCCCACGATTGTTTTGGTGGGAAAATGCTTGGGCCAACTGTGTCACTATCTGGTGTCACTGGGCCAGTCGCTTTTCCTCCTTGGCCTTCCAATAACTTCATCCGAAGGGACTGGATTAGTCCCATTTAGACTCTTAATGAGTGGTTCCTGTTCCCTGAGAACTACAGGGAAGGAGCAAGAACCGAAAGGAATCCGGAGAGACCAGATAGTGACACAG